TTCCTTCCTTCCTTCCTTCCTTCCTTCCTTCCTTCCTTCCTTCCTTCACCTTCCCTGTTCTCCTTCCTTTCCCCTTCCTTGCTTCTTTCCTTCCTTCCTCTCTCCCAATCCGTCCCTCCCTCCCTTTTCTCTCCTTCTTTCCTTCCTTCCTTCCTTCCTTCATTCCCTGTTCTCCTTCCTTCCCCCTTCCTTCCTTCTTTCCTTCCTTCTTTTTTATTTTATTTATTTGATTTGTCAACTGCTTACAAGCTAATAGGTGTAAGTATAAACACAACTAAGAATACAGGAAATAGGTACGAATAAATGGGTACAATAGGACAGGGATGGTAGGCACGATGGTGCACTTATGCACGCCCCTTACATGCCCCATCTAATCTAAGTCATCAGAATAACAGAGTTGGAAGGGAGCTTGGAGGTCATCTAGTCCAACCCCCTGCTCAGGCACCAAACCCTACACCATTCCAGACAAACGGCTGTCCAGTCTCTTCTTCAAAACCTCCAGTGATGGAGCCCCCACAATTTCTGGAGGCAAACTTTCCACTGATTAATTAAGAGAATAACAGAGCTGGAAGGGACCTTTAGAGGTCTTCTAGTCCAACCCTTTGCTCAAGCAGGAGACCCTATGGCAGTGGTGGTTAACCTTTTCGGCACCGAGAGCTGAAACAGGAGCGCATGTGTGCGCGACAAAAAGGGACCGAGTGCCCAAATGCGCACGCATTGGAACTAGAAGAGCAGCTCCTGGCACATGCATGTGTACCAGCCACCTGGTCTTCCAGCTTCTGACGCTTATGCACATGTGAAGACCAGTTTCTAACGTGCATTTGCACGCCAGCCAGCTGGTCTTCGTGCATGCATGAATGTTAGAAACTGGAAGATCAAGTGATCGGTGTGCATGCACACGCTTGGAGCTGCTTTTCTGATTTCCGGTGCTCGCACATGCGTGAAGACCAGCTGTCCGGTGCACATGTGTGGACCGGAACCCGGAAGATCAACGGGCAATGGCTGGCATGCCTGGAGAGAGGGTTCTGTATACCACTTCCGGCACGCATGGCATAGGTTCGCCATTACGGCCCTATCATGGCATAGGGCCTATACCATCTCAGACAAGGGGGCATTTAATTTCACCCCTCCTCCCTCCCTTCCTTCCTCTCTATTTTAATTTTAAGGACATGTTACTAGTCCTCATGGTTTTGCGGTGAGTTGGCGTCCACGAGCCTGAAAGTTGCCAAGGTTGGGCGAGCCTTGTTGTAATTTAATTGGATGAGTCAATTAATTTTAACTTGGGAGGCATATTGTAAATTTCCTCTTAGCCAGTTGTGTCAAACCAAGCACAACTTCTCAAAAGAACAATTAATCAGTGGAACAACGTTGCCTCCAGAAGTTGTGAATGCTCCTACACTGGACATTTTCATAAAAGATGTTGGATAACCATTTGTCTGAAGTGATGTAGAGTTTCCTGCCTGAGCAGTGGGTTGGACTAGAAGACCTCCAAGGTCCCTTCCAATTCT